GCGGCGCGCAGAGGGGGGAGGCGAGAGCGGACAGGCCTTCTCAGAAGGCGTTGAGGCTTCTCAGAAGCCCTCTCGTCTTCTAAGAGGAGGAGGAGGAGGAAGAGGAGGAGGAGGAGGAGGAGGAGGAATCTTGTAAGCCTTCTCCGAAGCCACGGACGACTACTCCGAAGGCGCGAGGGCGTCTGCGAAAAGCTCTGCCGCCTTCTGAGAAGGTCTGCCCCCTCGCTCCCCTCTGGGCTCGCCGCCGACAGGAGAAGGGCTTCCAGTTCAAGACCAAGCAGAAGACCAGCTGGGACGGCGCCGTGCTGTCATCGCAGGTTGACCTCTTCGACGCCAAGGACGGCGTCCAGACGCCCGCGAAGCTCACCTGGAAGCTCCCGGCGCCTCTCGGCAAGACTTTCGTCAGCATCGACAAGCTCGAGTTCGACAAGGCCGGCAAGATGAAGATGGAGTGCTCCTCCGACAAGGTGCACAAGGACCTCAAGCTGGAGCTCAAGTCGGACCTCGTGGATCTCGCCAAGGTCAGGGCTTGTGTCCATTTGGCTTGCGCTGCCGCGCAACCCCACTGCGCCGTGGGGCTGGACGGGGGTTGGAGGGTAGAGGGACGGTTTCTCCTTGGCACCATTTTTGAGTCGGGGGGTCATTCTTGGGGGCCTGGAGCGACGGTGGGAACGCACACTGGACTCGATGCGTTTTGGCTTCCTTCTGTTTTGCCGCGCGAGGAACAAACTAGCAAAAAAGAACACGGGGCCCAGCTGCCACAGCACACCGCGGTGGCGCAATTATACATATGTCTTGATCTTCATGTCTCTGGGGCCGTCTTGGGGTTGGTTTGGGGCTCTTTTCGGGTCTTTTGGGCCTCTTGGGGACCTCCTGGGGATTTTTTGGGCCGTCTTACTCTCTTGGGCCGTCCGAGGACGCTCTTGGGCTATCTGGCGCCTTCGGAGTCCGTTTTGGCGAGGTCTGTGGGCCCTTGAAGGCCGTCTTGAGGGCAGTCTGAGAGCTCTCTTGGGCCGTCTTGGGGCCGTCTTGGGGGCCCCTTCAGCCATCTCGAAGCTCTCTCGGGCCGTCTTAGGCCCTCTTGGACTCGTGTTGTCGTGTCGGAACATGACAAGGCGAGAACGCGAAAATCGGTCTCACACCGGAGGAGCAGCGAGGATTTCGGACTCTTGGGCCCGATGGAAGTCCTCTCGGAGGACTCCTGGGGCACCGTGGGATCTGATTGGCGATCTAGGGCCGTCTTGGGGCCCTGCTGGGCCGTGTTGGAGCCGCCTTGGGCCAAGCTGGAGGCTTCTTCTGACACCCACGAGGGTCTTTAGGAGACCCACTTGTTATGCAGAAGGATCCCAGAGGCCTCGCGCGGCGCGCAATAGTTGTATTATCTAGTCCACACGTCCGCTCCGAAAGCTATGGGTCGACGTTCACGCGGCGATGCTCCGGCGTCAGTCCGACGTAAGTCCGACGCAATTTTGGCTTAATCCGACGTGAGCCCGACGTGAACCCGACGTGGATCCGACGTAAATCGGGTCTCAAGTTTCCGCGCGAGGCTTCCAGATTTTTCTTAGTAACACTTGGAGCCATTTTTAGGGGGCCACATGCGAACCCCACCCTCCCCCTCAGAAATCGTGGGGAGTAGGGGTAGGGTTCGCATGTGGCCCCCAAATTTTGGGCGGTAAAGGCGGTATGTTATATCTTTTATGAGAGCTTTTGCGGGGCCAGCACCGCTCCAGCAGGCTGGCGCGCCAAGTCTTGCAGCGCTTGGCGCGCCAGCACTGCTCCAGCAGGCTGCGGGGGCGGCGGATCTTAGAAGCCTCCGGGAGGAGAGGAGGAGGCAGGAGGAGGAGGAGGAGGAGGAGGAGGAGGGAGGAGGAGGAGGAGGAGGAGGAGGAGGAGGAGGAGGAGGAGGAGGAGGAGGAGGAGGAGGAGCTGGAGGAGGCCGCCTCTTGTAGCCCTCTTGGGGCCTCCAGGAGTCTTTCTGGAGGCTTCTGGGGGGTCTCTGAGAGGCCTCCTGGGGGCCTCCTGGCTCTGGGGGCCTCTTAGGTGCTTCTTAGGCAATCTTCTTCGGAGGTCGTCTTGGGGGCCTCTCTTTGGCTGTAGTGGGCCCCTCTTGGACCAGCTTGGGACCTCTTAGTGGTTGGGTGGTCTTGGGGCTGTTTTGTGGAGGCCTCAGGGCCGTCTTGGGTTGTCGGAAGATTGGAAAGGCGAGAACGCGAACACCCGCCCAAACTTGGGAAACGATTCGACGCAGATATCGATGCACATCTTTTCTGGCGAGTTCCTGTCCTATGATTGCTTCAGCATGCGCGAGTTTGAGTTGGTTTGAATATAAACGTCTGGATACGAGTGCGCCTCCCTGGCGGCTTCTCCTTCGGATTGCCACATGCCATGCCTGCTGCATTGTGGTTGCCGTTGATCCTTGAAATGGGGACTCGCCTGCTGGGGCGACGCAGGCGTTTCGCCCGATCCCGACACTCTGGGCGCGGGCTGGGCCCCATCATAGCCCCTGCCCCCTGGGGATGCCCAAGTGCCACGACTCGATGATCATGGGGCTCTGGCACGAGACGCGCCCACCTCAAAGCTGGCTATTCTGCTCGACAGGTTCCGACAGTCTGGGCGCGAACGGGCCAGTGCCATACCCCCCCTGGAGCGAGACACGTCTAGCTCCCCCAAGCGGAGATTTTGTCCTGAAGTTCCCCACAATCCGAGCTCGAATGGGTCCGTGTCGTACCCCCTTGGCGGCTTCCTCTTGGGATGACCCAGTGCCGTGCTGCTACATCGCGATGATCATGTGGCCCTGCAAAGAGACATGTCTACTCCCCAAAACGGCCGTTTTGCTCTAGAGATTTCGACAATCTGGGTTCGAACGAGCTCGTGTCATCCCCCTGGTTTCCGCCTGGGGTGCCTCTGTGCCATGCCTGCCACATCGCGACCATCATGGGACTCTAAAGCGAGACATGTATACCCCCGAAAAGGCCATGGCCTGAGTGGTCCCATCAATTTGGGCGCGAACGGACCCGTGCCATCCCCCCCGGCGTCTCCCCTCTGGGATGCCCAAGTGCCATGTCTGCTACATCGCGACAGTCATGGGACTCTGACCAGAGACACTTCTTTTCCCCCAAAGCGGGGATCCTGTTTTAGAGGTCCTGGCAATTTGGGTGCGAAGAGGCCCGTGTCATACCCTCTCGCGGCTCCCCCTTGGGACGCCCAAGCGGCATCCATCTTATTTCGCGATGATCATGGGGCTCAGTGCAAGAGTGAGTATGACTGTGAGTGATGAGTATGACTGCGTATCAATATGACTAAACCTGAGTGTGAGTGAGTCTGAGCGTGAATGAGTCTGAGCATGAGTGGTCTGAGTATGAGTGAGTGTGAACATGAGTGAAGTGTGAGTGTGAATGAGCCTGTGTATGAGTGGTCTTAGTGCGAGTAAGTCTGAGTACTGAGTGTGAGTGAGCCTGAGAGTGATAGGAGTGAGCATGAGTGTGGGTGAGTATGAATGAGGCTGAGTGTCAGTGAGTCTGAATGTGGGAGAGATTGTGTGTGAATGAGTCTGGGTGACAGTTGGAGGGAGGAGGTGGGAATGACGAGGTGGGAAGAAGGGAGGCGGAAGAGTGATACCAATAACAAGAACCCCATATTTAGGATATGGGGGATCGATGGTTTTGGCCTCTTCAGGCCCTCCTGGAGGGCCGCTTGGAGCTCTTTTGGGACGTATGGGGTGTTGGGCAGTCTTGGAGCTAGAAAGGGCGGTCTTGGAGCCATTTTGGGCCGTCTTGAGGTCACCTTGGGGTCATCTTGGGCTCTCTTGGGGCCATTTTGGCCGTCTTGAAGGCGTCTTGGGACTGTGTTGGAGGCCATCTTGGCCCATCTTCGCCCCTTGGAGCCATCTTGGTCAGGAAAGCAGATCGTTTTTTTGTTATGGACGCTTCTGGATGGCCGCAGGGTTGGGCCGGAGGCCATCGGGAACTTTGGAAAGGCCCCCTAACAGTTAGAAAACCTTGCACGCCAAGTACCCTGTGGCAAGCACAGGTGCCCATCTCGCCACTGTGCCTGTGTCGTAGACGAGTCGCCTGTTGGATGCCTCTTGGCGTGAGGCCTCTTAGCTGCTTCGTGGAGGCATCTCAGGGGCCTCTTTGGGAACTCCTGGAACTCTTCGGAGCTCGGTGTCTGGGTACTTAGCCATATGAGTCTGTATAAAACTCACTGCCGAAAACTCGAAAGGACCTGATGACACTCCACTCAGTGTCTCGCGTCGTGGTCGTGGACATATGTTCAGTCGTGTACATACTAGGCTTTCTATACATTCTGCTTTCTCCGTTCTGTTGCATGAAGGCAGTCGTGGGAAGTGGGTGTGTCTGTCTGCGCTGGAGTTCAGAAGCGCCGTTCTGTACGACCGCCTCGAACGCACCACCACCGCTTTCTTGATCACTTGGTATAAGATTGGTGACGTACCCGTTTTACAGCCTCCTCCAGCTTCACGATTTGGATCGGCCCTTGGAGTTGGTCAGAAAGGCATTTTGACCCCGAGGTCACCGCCCATTGCACCTACACGGGTGTCAAGGACCTGCAGTTGAAGCTCGACACGTCCCCCATGAACCCCAATAAGTTCACCGCGGAGGCGACGTACGCCTACGGGATCTACACCGTGGGCGCCAAGTGCACCGCCGATACGCTGACTGCCCCCGACCTGGGCGTGCGCGTCCTGACGGGACCTTACTTCGGCTCCCTCCTCGTCAAGGAAAAGCTCGGGGCTTATTCGGCGCATGGTTTCTATAAGGCCAGCGACAAGCTGAAGTGCGCGGCGACTTACACCCACGGGGGCAAGACAAGCGGAAACTTCAGCCTGGGGCTCTTCTACGAGCTGATGAAAGGCACCACCGTGAAGGCCAAGGTGGCCCAGGACCAATCCATCTCGTGCTCTGTGAAGCACGAGATCTCGAAGGGGTTCACCATGATCGGCGGCGGGAAATACGACACCAAGAAGGGCGTCTACACCTATGGACCTCAGGGGCCAAGACAGCTTGTCCTCACTTTCCCTACCTGGCACATGGGAACGGGGGAAGGGAAACAGAGGTGGAGTGATGGACTGGGGGAGGGATCGGCAGGGGAAGTGGGGCGAAAGGGGGATGGGAATGGAGAGGAGGGGGCGGGAATGTGGGAGGAAAAACTGTGGTGAAGTGGTGGATTGGGGGGAGCGAGTGGCAGGGGGAGGGGGGAGGACAAAGGGGTATGGGAATAGGGAGGGGGGGGGAGAGTATGTGCTGGAAGGGTGTTTGTGCGTGTGTGTGTGCCTCTGCTGATGCTGATGCTGATGCTGCTGCTGAAGATGCTGATAATGACGATGGTTACGGACGACGAGGATGATGATGGTGATGAGGAGAATCACGACAAGGATGACCATGGTGGCGATGGTGGCTATGATGCTGGTTGCGACGAATACGATGACAACGACGACGACGATACTGCTGCTTATGATGATGGCGATGGTAATGACGGTGATGCCGCCGACGACGATTTTGATGAAACTGCCGATAATGATGGGAATGTGGAGTATGATGGTGAGTCGTGACGTGGCAGGAATATTGGGAGCGATCTCAACATGGCTATGATTAGGAAGAGTGGACGACGATTATGAACATAGTGTTGAGGAGGATGAGCAGGAGGCAGGGACGGGGTGAGGGCTCTTGATATAAATCGAGATGAATGGATGCGGTGGTGGAGGATGAGGATGGATGGGGGAGGAAAGGGGTCTTGAGGAGGGACGATGGAAGATGAGTGGGTATGGATCAATCACGAAGACTGGGAGGGACAGGGAGGATTGAGAAGATGGGTAGGACAATGACAATAGTCGTTACCTTCGCTTCCCCCGCCTTTCTTTAAAGCTCACGCACACACGCATATATTTTATATTTGTATATATATGTATATATGTATATTTGTATATGTATATATAAACATATATATATATGTATACATATATATATATATATATATATATATATATATTTCTGCGTGCCGCTGCGCGCGTTTGGCTCAAGAAAACCTTGAGGATAGGACGCAGCTGGCGTCTTAGCGGAAAAAAGGTGCTCGCGCCCTCCGCTTAGCGCGCGCGTATCATTATTCACTCTCGCATCTCCTTAACGGAGCATTGCAGCTATGTCGGACGGCCTCGTTCAGAACCCATCCATCCACTCTACCCGTATGAAGGGATCCCCAGGTTTAGGGGATCGGAGCAAGGGAAACGCTCATGCGTCAAGGAATGTACATTGTTTGGCGAAAGACCGGTTACCAGCCGAAAATATCACGGACAAGGAATTTGACGCAATTCGCCATAAGGGGTTACCACCGGAGCAGTAGCTCGAATGATAAGAATTACTGGGGTGGGTGTGCGGTCGACGACTTCTAGACGCTTCGCGTAACCCCACCAGCGTCCGTAGCCTGGCTCCAGCCTTTGGCTCAAGGCCGCTCTGGCTCGAACTGGCCTCAGCGGCTGGCTGGCCGTGGCCGGGGGCCCGCCCCTCGGTCCTCGGCCTCCCCGCCCGCGGGGGCGTGCGAGGGGTTCGCCCCCCTCCGCGATCCCGTTCGCTCGGCCATGGAGTCGCGCTCGGCGCGGCGGCGGAGGCAGCGGCACGCCGCCGCCTGCCGCGCCGCCGCCGCGGCCGGCCCGGCCGGCCTGCTGCCGCCGCGGCCCGGCGTGGCCCCAGGCTGCCTCGGCGTGGCCGGCGCCGCCGCCGCCGCGGCGGCCGCCGCGGCTGTGGCGGCGGCCGGCCGCGGCGAGACCGCCGCGGCCGCCGGCGCTGTGGCGCGCGCCGCTGCTCTGGGGCCTGCCGCGGCGGCCGCGGCCGCCGCGGGTGCGGCGGCCGCCGCCGTGGCCGCCGCGGCCGCTGGCGCCGCCGCTCCCGCTGCTGCTGGTGTCGCGGCCGCCGCTGCCACCGCCGCCGCCGCGGCCGCCTCGGGCAGGCCGCTGGCGGCGGCCGCCGCCGCGGGCCTCATTGGACATGATGCCGGTCCCCAACATCATCTCCTACGTCATCCTGAACAGCTGGTGCGAGAAGGGCAGGCGCTGGCAGTGGCAGCTGGCCGTGGCGCTGGTGAGCGAGATCCTGGTCGTGAAGCTGGAGACCAACAGCATCACGTACGGCACTGTGAATAGCGCGTGCGAGATGAGCAGGCGTCGGCAGTGGCAGCAGGCAGTGCCGCTGCTGGGCGAGATTGTGGCCGCGAAGCTGGAGCCCACCATCTTCACCAACGGCACTGTGAAGAGCGCGTGCGAGAAGAACAGGCGGCAGCAGTGGCAGCAGGTTGTGGCGCTGCTGGGCGAGATTGTGGCAGCGAAGCTGGAGCCCAACATCATCACCTACGGCACTGTGAAGAGCGCGTGCGTGAAGAGCAGGCGTCAGCAGTGGCAGCAGGATGTGGCGCTGCTGGTCGAGGCCCCGGTCGTGAAGCTGAAGCCCACGTTCATCAACTCTGGCACGGTGAACAGCGCGTGCGAGAAGAGCAGGCGTCGGCAGTGGCAGCAGGCAGTACCGCTGCTGGGCGAGATTGTGGCCGCGAAGCTGGAGCCCACCATCTTCACCAACGGCACTGTGAAGAGCGCGTGCGAGAAGAACAGGCGGCAGCAGTGGCAGCAGGTTGTGGCGCTGCTGGGCGAGATTGTGGCAGCGAAGCTGGAGCCCAACATCATCGCCTACGGCGCTGTGAAGAGCGCGTGCGTGAAGAGCAGGCGTCAGCAGTGGCAGCAGGATGTGGCGCTGCTGGGCGAGATTGTGGCCGTGAAGCTGGAGCCCAACATCATCGCGTACGTCACTGTGAACAGCGCGTGCGAGAAGAGCAGTCGTCGGCAGTGGTTGCAGACTGTGGCGCTGCTGAGCGAGATGGCGGTCTTGCAGCTGCAGCCCAGCATCATCACCTACCGCATCCGGAACAGCTGGTGCGAGAAGGGCGGGCGTTGGCAGCGACAGCAGGCACTGGCGTTGCTGAGCGAGATGGTGGTCGTGCAGCGGGAGCCCAACATCAACGCCTACAGCGCCCTGAACAGCGCGTGCGAGAAGACCGGGCGTTGGCAGCGACAGCAAATAAAGGCGCTGCTGAGCGAGATGGTGGTCGTGCAGCTGGGGCCCAGCAGCATCCCCTGCAGCGCCCTGATCAACGAGTGCGAGAAGAGCAGGCGTTGGCAGCGCCAGCAGGCAATGGCGCTGCTGAGCGAGATGGCGGCAGCGAAGCTGAAGCCCAACATCATCACTTAGGGCGCTCTGACCAGCGCGTGCGAGAAGAGCAGGTTTTCGCTGTGGCCGCCGTCCTCGAGGACCAGTCCGCGGATATCGCGGCGGCTGCGCGCAACTTCGCCTTCGCGGTGTTGACGTCCAGCGACCCCGCGGCGGACATTGTGAACGGCCGCCTTGCCAGGTTGGCGATCCTCGGCATGTTCCTCCAGGACTGCCGGATTGGCTCCGCCCAGGGCGATGGGGCGCTGTGCGCTGGATCCCCGCTGCGCGCCTTCAAGTTCGAGAGCGAGCTGGGCGTTCAGGGCCCCTCGGGCCTTTGGGGCCCTGCTGGCTGCGCAGCGGGCGGCAGCGCGGAGAATCTCGCTCACCAGTGGCGGGCAGAGCTGAAGAGAGGCCGCGCGAGCATGCTGGCGACCACGGGCTACATCACGCCTGACATCGCTGGCGAGCTGCCCAAGTCGCCTTCGGACGACCTGGAGGTCGCGGACATCCCGCGCGGGCTCGTTGCGCTCCCGAAGGCTCCTGCCGCTGCCTGGGCGCAGATCGTGGCGCCTGGCGCTGACGCGAGAGATCTCGATACTCACAACGACATCTCGGAGCATAGCAGCAGCAGCATCAACGTGCCCCCCCCCGCTTCGTTGACAGATGATGACGTCCCAGAGGGGAGTCGATCGTTGTCTGACGAGGACGTTCCAGTGGGGAATCGAGAGGCGGTTGCTTGCAGTGACCAGTGTACAGCTCACGCTAACCCCCCCCTTCAGCAGTATCAGCAGGGCAGAGGAAAGGAGTGGGAAGTCACGGCGGAGACGGCGGAGGCTGCGGAAGCCGCGGAGTATCCCCCTCAGAGCAATCAGTCCGTCAGCAGTCCTCTGGGAGCGCCACGCACCCAGCAGGGAGACCGCGGAGCAACCATCCAGACGCAGGACAGCGAAGCCATCCGCTGGCTCGTCGTGAGAAACCTCTTCGCGCCTATTCGCCCCCCTTCCCCTGTCAGTGAGCTCGTTGCGGACGACGAACCCCAGGCGCCCTCGCCGGGCGCCCAGGGCGCCACTGGCAAAGCAGCTCGCGCCCCGGCTATGGAAGCCGCGCCGCCGAGCGTGCGCGCGCCTGGCACAACCAGCGGCGCCCCAGAAACTGGAGAGAGTCCTGCGCTGCTCAAAGGGGGCGCACCTGGGAGCGACGGCGGGCACAGGCCCGAAGGCGAACGCCAGCGAAAGGGGCCCTTCCCCACTTGCCACAAGGCCGCGTTTGCCCTGGCCGCCGGACGCGATCCGACCCCTGCCTGGCGGCCAAACGTGCGGCTTGCATCTCCCCGCAAAACCCTGCCAGGCGTGCAGCTGGAGCTGTTGCGAGCAGATCGCGAGCCCCCCAGCCAGGACAACGAGGCCGGTGCCGCGGAGACTTGCGGCCAGGATACATGGCGGCACCAGAGGCCCGACCCGCGTCAATGGCCAGAGCCCAAGGGCCCCGACACGAGACAACAGCTGTACAAAACAGGAATCAACAACATCCCCCGGGGAGACACCCGGTGAGGCGATGCGACGACTCCTAGTCACATTGGGACCAATGTTCACTGGCACCTGGCACGCTTTCGCCAAGCGGCAGTCTGTGCCCGGCAGCAAGGGCGCGCTCGACCGGCTTCGGCGCGACCCGCAAACCTGCCGCCTCTTCCTGGAATCTTTCCGCAGCCACAAGTGCGACGTACGGGTCCTCAGCGACGCGCTGGGCCTCGACGTCGACTGGGCTCGGCCGTGGCAGCTGCGCCGGGGTCG